AAAGATGTTTTTTACAACGTTATTTTACTGTTGATTATAGGTATGAGAAAATATCATTAGTTATTACAATTGTTCTGCGTACTTTTCCTCTCTTATATACCATATAATTTCCCAATAGAAAAATACTACTACAATTACTCCTTATGACAAAGAGGGTTCTACTTTCCACCCGCAAATTGTGTAATTGATAATGCTAATTTATTTATTTTTTTCTTTTTCAATTTGTGAATTTGTAATTTATGAAATTGCTTGTTATCAGAAAAAAGAACCGCACAAAAATAATGATAATAATAAAAAAATCTCATCCGTTTTCTTTCGTAATTTGTGAACTTTGATTTTCAATCATTTTTCATTACCCAAAAATTTCTGCTCCTTCTAATTTAGAAAAAGAAAACATCCTTTTTTTTATTAGAAAGGGGAAACGTATCCCTTCGTCTGTTGTTACCTAATTGTCTTTTTATTGAAAAAGAAGCTGGGTAAAGGAGAGAAGAGTTTGTTTTTGAACTGGTCGCTATTAAAATGTGTTGTACAAAAGTAAAATTTTTTAAACAAGAAAGTAAAAATTTCAGTGTTCCAAAAAGATTTATGTATTAACAAAGGAGTTCTGGCATAATAGCTTCCAATACTTTGATATTATGCTACTATAACATATTTATCCAAATTACAAAATCGGTTAATCAAAAAATATTAATTTAAAATAATTCTAATATCCAAATCCAATATAAAATTATTTTCAAATCAGTTCGTAAATAATTTAAGGATATATCTATATGGTTGTCCAAATTTAGCCTACCAAAATTTGAATAACAATTTTGCTCTTATGTACCAACGTATATATATCATCTTCTACTACACAAAGTTTTATAAACCAAAGTTTTTTTATTGCTACATTGATAATAAAGGGTGAATTGGTTGTAGAATTTCGCGGAATTTTTAATTTCCTGATTTCTCATTAAATCTTTTGATTTAGTATAATTCGTGTTTTGCTAAAGGAAACGCGAAATATACAAAGTGAATCCTTGTTTCATAATTAATACATGTAAAAATATTAAAGGGATAGCAATTTCGATGCTTATTTTTAATGCTAATCAATTAAGTATTATTTTAGTAGAGAACGTTGATATAAAAACTTTTTGGGGTAAACATGTATTTTGTGAAATTGTATTTGACTGGATGTTTTTTAAGCTTTTAAATTGTAAAAATTTAAATTGGGCGACAACTTTTGGCGATGTATTTTTTTTATTACTTGTTTTTAAGCTTACTACATATACTAATGTTTTCAGCACTTTTATAAAAAATTTTGTAAAGAAGTACTTACGAGTATTAGTTTCATTCTGTCCGTGCTTTTGTGTTTTTCAAAGATTGCTCATCCTAAATGTATGCAAACTTTGTAATATATTCCTATACAAATGAAAGTAATTTTAGTAAAGTAGTTCATAGCTAGATTATTTTTAAAAACAGCATTTTCACTTGGTAATGAGAAAAGTGCTACTTTACAAACCATTGGATTGACTTAACTTTATTAATGTTTATTACATAAAATACTTTAGCTGTGTTATATGTCAAGATCTGGGAGAAAAATTAGCTAGTTTTATTCTTAAAAAAGAATTAAACGCAATAGCCTTAAAGGTATTAAGTTCTTAACTGTAGCAATAACCGATTTTCAAAAGCAATCTAATAATTTAATTTCGTTATTTGAGTGAGTCGGTTTATCACAATTTTTTTGAGCAAATTTTCATAAATATTAGAAATGAAGCGCTGTACCGCTGTATGACTATATTAATTGGACAATTAAAATAAGTTTTTGTAACAACAAAAGGACCTTCTATCTATCATCCGGTTGAAACCTTTTGCTGAATTGTTTATAGTAGTGCATTGAAGACATTCTTTAAAATTGGGCTGAAGATCATGATTTGATGATTGTTTTATAAACAAAGTAATATTTGCATTTAAAATCATGAAAATGAGAAATTAATTATAAATTTACATTTGAATTTTGTTTTTACTTAAAATTTTTACCAACATTTAATTCATATTAATTTGAGTAATTTTGTTAAAAATTATTAAGATACTAGTAGACTGTGTTAAAAATACTTTGTGCAGTTGCTTAGTAATTTATGTTTACATGTTTTTCTAGGTTGGCAGTGTTTATGATTATTTAACTTATTTTTAATAATCACGCATCCATTCCTTGAAATAGGGTCTCGATATTCTGTTACCATTATTCTTTCAGGACGTTTTGGACTCCAGTATGCTTCGTTTTTCCCACCAAATCTTGGAGGATCAGCGTAATTAACGTGTATTGGTTCATAAAGAGTCTCGCATTCACCAATGTACGCCTTTGGATTCATATTCTTTTTCTTATTCTTGTTACAAGGTGATTCAATTATGTGTTTTTTGGCATTAATCAAGCGAGGTACAATATTTATATTTGTCATAATCATAATAAATGAGGATTGCAATATATTAACAAAACCGGTTTCGAAATTTATAAAGCAATAATATCCAACTTTTGCCTCAAAACAGCCAGCGTTGCAATTTGGAAATAGTTTTTTAGTCTTGTTATTTTTTTTTTAGAGTTACTGTAATCTTTATTCAAATAATTCTTTTTAGTAATTCAAATAATTCGTCGTCGGGAATAGTTTATCGAATCCGTATTAGTTTAAACTACATCTAGTCCATTCTTTTCGTTAACACAATTTTTTTCTTATTTATATAAAATTAGAATAAAAAATTTGGAATGTTCAGAGCATTTTTTTTTACTAAAACGTAATTATGAAATTGAAAAAACTTTACATTGACAAAAAAATTCATGCTATACCAAAAATGTTGTTTTAAAAATATGAAGTACATATAAATTTTTTAAAAGACAATATTTTTTCCAATCTTATCAATTTATTAGTTATACATATACATATATATATATGTTTATGTATGCATATTATCTATGAATCTATCTATATCTGCGCGTTTTCAAAAACATGTTAAATGCCGAAAGAGTTTTGAAAAGGAACTGTTAAATTTTAAAGGGAAGCTTACCGGTAAAATCATGACAACTAAAAACAGAAACGAATCTTAGTTCTAAATGTGACATTATTCTGGCAACGAGAATAGGTAGATTTGACCCTATCAATTTTGTGATACTAGTGCGAATGAAAAATTTTATGAGTTAAATATTAATTTCTACACTGCTTCATAAGACCTCTTTTCTGCTTTTTTGTTTGCATATGGAGGTTATCACGTAAACTCATACAATCTCAACTCATACTAACGTAAACTCATACAATAAATAATCAATTTCCAGCAAAAATTCTAAAGATGGAGGAGGGGGAGCCAATATATACATATATTCGTTTTCGAGCTACAGCCTGTTGTAAAAAAGGTATCAGATTTTGCTTGCATATAAATAAATGCTTATGACTTCGGAACCATGTGGCATGGAGTAACTATCGCGTGATGGTTTCACAGACGCTTGATTGCTCTTTATTTTTGGTCTTACAATCAGTTTGAGTCATAGTTTTTGACATAAAGGTCGTCAAAATTAGAATATTTGATTTTTTTTTTAATTTTTTTTTAAAAACTCGAAATTTCTCGAAAATTGGTATAATTTTTGTTTTTGTTTTAAGTGCTACAATAAGATCTAATATATGACTATCAATAATTTTTGAAGTTTTATGGAAGCTACCAAAACGAGGCAAATAATTCCAACTTTCATTTTACATAGCCTTGATAATATAATGGTTTTCAAATAATAATTCAAATAGGATTCTGATATTTAGATAGGGCAAGCGGACAAACGGGTGGATATATATTATATACGTTAGACCGTTATATATCGTTACAAATTGAGTGGAAAATTTATTATATTAAATTAATATATGTATTTATTATACGTACGTTCGTATGAATGTAATAACCCTTATGGTCTTTATTAAAGTGAGGAGAAATAATTATATGTATATGATAAGATTTTACTTATTTACATGATTTTTAAGTACAAGCCACAAGAGAGTTTCTTCATACATATATTTTTAAAACTCTCACGTTTTATTTTCAATAGTTTATTTAACCTGCATTTTATATTTTTGATTATTTCTGACGTCCATGTAAAAGGTTTTGCAAACATTATAGATCACGGAACGCAAGTTCAATGAAACTAAAATACAGGTTGTTTACGTTTAACTAACATTGGATTTTGGTTTAATGATTGGTTGAATTCAATTCCTATCTGTCAATGATTTGGTATCTATGTGCTCTGACATTATCTTTTTGAATTCCAGTTACTTTTTCATACAACTCCGGGTAATAAAGTTTTAATTTTATCCAAAAATCTTGTTGATCTCTATTATTTGTCGTAAAAATTGCTGCCAGTTTTTGTTCTCTAATGTTGAAAATATTATCCGTTTTCATATTTAAATTTAGTTTTTCTATTTTAAAAGTATAAAATGGTGATGAAATCAACATAATTTTAATTTAATTTGAAAGCAAGAAACTACAAAAGAAAATTTTGTGAATTGAAAATTTCGAATTTTGATTTACAAAAGGGCTTTTTTTTCACATTTTCATTTACAGAAGTTGACATCAAAGTCAAAGTTAACAAAATTAAAATATATTTCCAAAAGAAAACTAGTTACTAATTCTAAATATAAATTCTTTTACTCAGGCTTAAATTGGAAATTTGCAATTTCGGTGGAATTTTGATCACTATATTTGCGGTAACACTCAAATATTTTTATAATTTGTATGGCAAGAACTTTTGACCTTATAGAGAGTTTTAATGTGATACAATACCATCTAAAATTTTCATTAAATCTAAATACTTTCTTTTTCATCTTCATATACGTTCTTCTGTTTACTTATGAAAATAAGCAACCCTTTCGAATAAGTCATAAAAAATATTTTAATATTTTTTTTTCAATGTAAAAATTAACAAAAATTATTAATAAAAATTTTTAGTATATCAAAATCTATTGGTTATGACAACTAAATTTCATAGAAAAATGGTTCAATTTACAACCACCTATCGTTATGATTACACACTACCAGTAACTGATCGTTATAAATTTCTAGAAAAAACAAATGTGCAAGAAGAAGTTTCGAATCCTTCTAATTGCAATAAGTTAACAACAAATGAGATCAAATCTAGCAATATGCCAGAATTATCAAAGAAAACAAATTTGAAAATGGAATGGACTGGTATCGCCCCAATGGGGCGTATAATTACACCAAAGCTTATACCACCTGACAGTGATGCATATTTAGCCCGTAGTCAACAAAAGTCTACAATCAAATGTATTGAAAATCAACCAAATCGATTTTTAAAAAAATTAGAAAAATGTTATCCAGATTTATATGAACGTCTTAAACGAATGACTGATAATGAGTTAAAACGTCGTGTAAATAAACAAAGGCTAAAAACAACCTATCAAATTGACTATTGTAGGTTGCTGGAATTTCCTGATGGGATTTACCATCAAAGAGTCGTTGAAGAAACTGAAAACGAAAAGAAAAATGTGGATGTGATAGAAGGCAGCTATGAAAAATTTGAAAAAGATATTCAAACTGGATTAAATGTGGAAAATAAATCTTTTGGATTTAGAAAAAGTGACCTAGAACCAAAAATTAGAGACGATACAAATTATCGGCTGGCTGATATTGAAACCACAAATAAACCTCATATTACAGAATATGTTGATAAAATTTGTCGTACTGGTTGTGTTGTTATGCAAAATAAAATACATGATCATAAAAATTGTAGCGATGGTCAAAAATGTGTGCATAACTTGAAAACATTGTGTAAAGATTTTAAATAGATTTTAAATAGATTTTACAATAAAAGCATGATAACAAACTGTTGCAAAAATTGCAACTTGAATTATGAATGTGCATGAAACTTTCGATTAGTTAAGTACATTACTCACACGTAACACGGCTGTGTGTAAAACGTTATTTTAGTTCTGCTATTTCTTCGTCAATATAAATTTGGAAAAACCAAACTATGTACGCTTAGATCCTTATTAAATTAAACAAAAATAAGGTAAAATCTGGAAGTAGAATCAGTGCTATTGTTTTATTTCTATTATTAATTAATCTAGCAGAAATATTGTTTTCTTTTTATTATTAATTGAAATTTCTGCAGATTAGTAAATTGCATAAAGTTCTGCCGAATATATGTATACTAGAATATTTTTAAATAAGAAGTTTTTGATTGTATTATTTTATAAATGCAGAACTAATTCCAACTTCGTTGCAGCTGCCATTTTTCACTTTTCAATCTCCTGGTATTAAATATTTTTTGGTTTTGGGATAGTGTAAGTATTTCTTTTCTAAAATTAGTTACACTAACGTCAATTTCGATTTGCGAAAAATATGAAATTTATGAATTGCAACAAAAATTTTATATTTTTAGATAATTAACCTAAGCGTCATAAAATCGATTGAGAAATATTTGAAAATTATAATACCAAAACTAGATATCTTCATGATAAATTTTTTGTTATTGCTAAATCTTTAAACGTCAATATCTCTAAGCTAATTATTGTGAATTATCTAGTTGTAGCATTAACTTACGATGTAAATGAATATTAATTTAACTTGATAATTCGTTTTGTAATTTTTCTGTTATTATCAAAGGACATTTATTTACATCCATAATTTAGAATTCTTACATTTGTAAATTCAATAAAAATTCTAACAAAATCTGAATAATTTCAACAAAAATAAATTTTTAATTTTGTGAAAAATAAATCAAAATTTTTTCAAATAAATGAATCGGAAAACATTGTTCAATACACTAGATCAAAACTTCAAAAAGATGTCTACAAGTTCTACATCAAAAACAGATTTTGAGGATTCACCTTATAGATATTTAAACATCCTCCGAAATTTATATCCCGATTTATATCAGCATTTAAATAGCGTTCCAGCTACAGAATTAACGAGAAAATTAGAAATTGAACGTTTACGTACCAATTATATGAACGACTATTGTATTTTACCAAGCTATGGAGACCATTTTTATAGCAGCTTAAAACAAAAAGATAATAAGTTAAACCAGTACAATAGTAACAAAGAAAAAATAAAAAATATAAAAAACATTGTTTATCAACCCAGTTCAAATTATTCAAGATCTGTGTCAGTGGATGTAAGTGGATGTGCTCTCAGATGTAAAAAATTTATAAACGAAATTAGGTGGTTTAACACTACAGAATATAGAAGTAACATTTGTAAAACTGGTTGCATAATACGTAAAAGTTGTATTCATGATCATAGCAAATGTACGAAAATTAAAAATTCTTGTACACATAATTTAAAAAATCTTTGTAGAAAAGATTAGAAATTATAAATAATATATTCGAAAGTTGAGTTCTCAAAAAGTTGAGAACTCAAATAATTAAACACAGGCAACTATAGTGTTTCCATGACTAGAAAAAATACAAAATTTCAGCTTGAATTCACGATATAAATTTCCTGTTGGTCAATGTTTCTTTCATTGTTAAATTGCACATTTAAGCAACATCTCAATCTAAAAGTTATGGTAGCTCCTATGAAAGAGATTAAATATAGCAGATTATTTTATTTTACAAATTTATGAAAGTTGTTCCAGATGCAAAATTAGCTGAAGCTATGCGTTAAATATTAATTTTGTATCTAATTTTAAATTTCAGGTTAAGTGCCATGTCCACAAAGCAGACAACGTTCTTTTGCTAATTAATTTTTATACATTTATACTTATGCTATATAGACAATCAAAAACAAAAGTTGGGAAACAAACAATTTTGTATAGTATATAATTCAAAAAGAACTAAATTACAGTTTTAATGAGAAACAAAAAGTACTTGTAAGTTTTAGGCTACCTCTCCAACCATATTTTAACAAAACTTTTAACCTTCTTCTTGAATGAAAAAAACTTTAACCTTCTGTTTTTGAAATTCCAAGTATTTCCAAATTTAATATAAGAGAACAAAGCGGACGATAAATCCACTAAGTCCTCGTTCGACATACGACATTTTTGGTTCCAGAAATTTGTGTCGTAATTCGAATTAATCGTTTGAGGAGGAGAAAAAATGTATGGAAACAAAAAGTGGATTAGACAAACTAATTAAAAAAAAAGTAACAAAGTTTAACAAATAAACAAGAAAATATAATAACGAAATCAAAAAAATTCAATTTTGTGAGAAAAATAGATAAAATAAAATCTGATTAAGAAGTTGATGTTATATCACTTCAATTCGTAAAAAACATTTCAACAGTAAAATCTGTCAAACAAAATTTTTTTTAAATTTTAATGTGGCCCAAATTTATGTCATGTCGTAACTCGAAATGTCGTATTAGAAGATGTCATATCTCGTGGACTTAGTGTATTCATTTATCATAACTCCCCTAATTAGCCGTCTAATTTGACCATTACATTATTGCTTATTTCAGTTACTTTTCTTTCTCTGAGAATAATTTAAGTAGAAAATTGCTTTTTAAAGATATTTTTTTCATCTGCTCAAAGGAAAAATGCTCGTTTGCAAAACATTTCTTTGAGCACAATTTATTTTATATTGAATAGAAAGATTTTTTCCAAATACTCGTAACACATTAAGTGTTTAGTTGAAAATATGCATTTTGCATTTGTTTTGGTATAAAAATAGACGAATCGTTTACATAACATATCGTGTAATTTACATTATTATCTATGCTAGTAACTACTCGTATTTATTTAAACTTATTCGTGAATTACATGTTTTATTAAAAATAAATAATTTGTTTTTATTTATTTCAAATTTATAATATTAACCGATATCTACGAGTACATGTTATATAGGTGTTACTAGAAATTGTAACAATAAAAATAATAATTTATATAAATTTCTTGAAATAAATCAAAATTAAAAATTCAATAATTTATTTATTAAAATCCGTTGTGTAAAATGGTTTCCTTAAAAATATATTTTGCTATAAATAATAAATATTTAAATTTAAAATTCAAAAATCATTTATTTAAAGCAATATTTTTATCCTTTTCCATTGAAATTTTTCTTGTCCATAACTATGCAGAGTAAATTTAGAGGAGGAAGCAAAAAAGAAATGTCTATGTTTTCTATTCATAAAAAGGGAAATAAATCATTCTTGGACGAACATCTCTCATTTATCTTAAAGCAAAAAATAAATCTTAAAAAATATTAACCCATTTTAGACTGTTTTTATTTTTTATACCTTTTCAATCATAAATCTACCAATTTAATTAAAAATCTTCACTGCTTAAGACAATCATTTAAAAAAATGAAATTTTAGTTGAATTAAAAAAAATTAAATAATTAACGTTAATCATCAACTTGTTAGATCAACTTGCATTATCTGCTATTTATCGAAATTTTCTCGAATAGGAATTAAAATCTAGAGACTCTATCTAGAAACAAATATTTTCTCAAGAATATCAGTGAAACCTTTTATTACTGACAAAAATTTCATCTTGTCAAAATTCGTGTAGATTGGCTTGATTTATGCAAAGAATTTTAAACAAAAATACGAATGGTTAGTAAAATCGTTTATAACACTAATATTACAAAAGCATTCAATATTTTTTTGACATAAAATGTTACACATTTACACAGATTTAACTAAAACAGAAATAAATAAAAACAAAAATGTCATAAATTTTTAAATTTTTTAAATGAGACAAAAAAAATTTAACATGGAAATTAAAAAATTGCAGTATACGAACGTTGTTAGACAATTTGGCTAAATTGCAGTACTTAGTACGGTGTTGTCAAGTTCCTGAAGAATACTGTAAGTGAAGTACCATATACAGCTAATTTATTTTTTGGTTTTTGGAAGTAATGATTTAACTTAGTTTTATTAAATATAAAATCAATAAAGTTGGGTCAAACCAATGGTTTGTATTGTAGCACTTTTCCCTTCAACAAGTGAAAATTCTGCTTTTAAATACAGTGTATTTATAGCTATTTATCACACTATTAAAATTATTTTCATTCATATACAAAGATATTTCTAGGATTGCATATATTTAGGATGAACGATTTATGCAGTCTTTGAAATAAAGCAAAAATTAATATAAAGAGGGGTTAATATAATGCTCAATTTTAAGGATAAATTGTGTGAGTTAAGAAAAATAATTATATTTTTAATGTCGTAGAATTTACCGTTAGCTTTTTGTGTTTATAGAAATTTGAAAAAGCTTGCGGTTTCGGAAATATAAGGTGTCAAAAATTTAAATTTTACAAATTTCAAGAGGCGATAATTTGAGAGGAGGTGGAGATGGAAAATAATTTTCTTCTAACGAAATAAACTATTTGCTAATGTCTAAAAGCCCATAAAATTTCAAGCTTCTACAAGCTGGGGTCTAGAAGAAAAACGAAATCAAAAATTTGGAAAAAAAAGACTTCAGATAACGGTAAATTTGAACGGCCATTTTGTTTTTCTAAAGTTTAACTATAATGTACCACGCTAGGGGAAGCAAGCCGCTGCCTTTATGCGTTTGCAAAATTTCAAAAATGCTTATGGTTTCATTGCAACAAATAGTTAAAAAAGACCATTTTTAGTGTTTTGGGGGGGTGTAACTTCTAGAGGGGGAGAGATAGGTAAAAATTTTGTTCTACGGAAATAAGTTTGTAGTAAAGATCTATGTACATATAAAATTTCAGCTTTCTATCTTCAAGGGTGTAGAAGTTTTGTAAACAGACACACGGACAGACGGACGGACGGACGGACGGACGGACGGACGGACGGACGGACGGACGGACGGTCGGACGGACGGATGGTCGGACGGACGGACGGACGGACAGAGTGAAACTAATAAGCACTTTTTTTCAAAAATTTTCAAAAAAAAATAAAGTGTTACTGTATGACGTCGTTCACACGAAATTGAAAGTCTGCATATGTGGTCGAATGGCGCATTGCTGCAAATTTATTGACGTGATCTACAATCTTTGCTTCGGGAGATTTTTAGAAACCCAGTTTTATAAATTTTGAACTAAACTTTAGTTTTGAACTTTTTGGGTTTAAAATGTTTGTACTTACATATTTTATTACAAGTTCGCTTGCATGTGGAAACAGATTTTTTTGAACAAAAATTATACCTTGTGTCAAGTATGTACAATAACATATGTATATCGTACGTACGTGTGCGTGTAATAACACGATTATTTTACCAAATTTATAAAAGAAAATATTGATTTCATTTTATCACCTATAATGGGTCATCTATCATTATGTGCCTTAATAAAATACGTGCTAGATTAATAAATCGATATTAAAACCAATAATATAAATTTTATTATAACTTCTCCATTTTGTTAAAGTTTAATAAAATTATTTTAACATTATAAAGGGAAAATTTATGAAGCGTGAAGATTTTTATGAGTTCTTTTTAGCACGTTTTAAAAAATGTTGTTATTACTTTCTGTTTGTTCGTCTATCTGAGCGATCATTTTCAAAAGTTTAAACATCCTTAAAGTATAAAACTGCAATTTTATACAAGAACAAAGACATCTTTAGATGTAAACATTTTCTAGAGGAATTTTTTTTTATCTCTCCCCCTTAAAGTAATAGTTAACAGCTTTGGCAGCTTATTGTACTCAAAGCATCTAAATTGTGTAAAAGTAAAAATTATATAATCTATTCCACAAAAAATTATAAGAAAGTACCAGAAAATCTGAACACTTTTTTTTTCTTTTTCAAATTTGTGATGATTTTTCTTATAAGGTGTTAATTTTCTTGTAAAGTAAGTCTTTTAAGTGTTAGTTTTTCATACAAGTTTTCGGAAGGAAAATGTGCTACTTTAAAAACTTTACAAAAAAATTTTAATAAATTGTTTTGTTTTTATTTTGGAGTCAGAAAATTAAATTCAGAAAGTTGAAAATTTTTTTTCAGCCATAATTTATACACTTATCCACATTACGTGTGTAATGCAGACAGGTACATACATAAATAATTATAGGTATATAGGCTTATCATATAATATGTACGTATATATAGAAAATGATACTTATTTTTATGTTTAATTTATTAAGAGCAATAAAAAAAAAATTTAATTTGCATCTGATGTGATATAAGTTATCAAAATTCGGTGTGAGTTTCTGTCCTGGACTTTAATTAACTTGTCAGCATAAGTGTTTCTATCACATTCTAATCAGGTCTAATATTTTATTATATTTGATTGCAATAAATGTAGCATTTCCCTATAGCATTCGCCTTCAAAGATTTTTTAATAATTTCTGAGGTAAAAGCTTTGCGTCAAATATATAAGCATTGAAAATCTGCAAAGTTTTAAAAAGGTCTTTGAGGTTGGGAAAGTTTTAAAATCTGATAGGATAAAATTAAATTTAAAAATTTTTAAACATCAAATAATGTTATGGGGAATTATTATAAAAAACATGAACAGATTAATTCAAACGTGAATAGTGATTATTTCAAAAGTAGTTACTTTTCCCTATATGCATTCATTTAAAATAAATTATTCTTATATTTTCTTACTTAAACAAAATTTAAAGTCAAGATTTTTCGAAAGCAAATGTCGATCATTTGTCATACATATTGTAACGTTTGTAAATAAACATGTGATGGTAAAATTTGTGGTAAAAGATTAAATCTCAAATGCAAAAACAAGAAATTAAAAGAATAAAAAA